CTCAGAATAGGAGGATTGGTATATGATACATTGAGCTTAATGTACGCCGAGTTTCAGCGAGCCAAAGTACGTAGTTCTTCTCTTCAATCCCTTTAAAGTCGATGGAATGAAAAAATGTGGAGACGACATAAATGTAATCTGCTTACATCAAGTCACTACCTGCTGCAACAGGTTGGCAGTAGAGATCAGTGGTAAGTTTTGAAATTTGCTCGTTTACTTCTAACAACAGGAGACTTATATGCATGTTTTGTGCAGGAATCAACATCAGGAAAACGTATTTTTTTGAATGGCAAATAGATAGCTCCTGAAATACATGCATGTTATAAAATTAATTTTCAGGCTCTACAAACGGCTCTCCATATATTAATGCTAGAGGGATAACACTGCTAGGCTAGAATCTATGTGCAATTGCATTGTACAATATTAACTGCAATATTCCGTTAAATAATTTTTGATCAGGGGTGCAAGGAATCTCTGTTGTCAAAGTACAAAATATTAAAATCAACAAATTAATACTAATTATTTTTAATTTAAGAACACTATAATTATGATAGTGTTGAAGTTTATGTATACAAACAGAAATAGATTTGATACATCTTTTATGAAGGTTATTGTTTTATGTACTTATTGAAACTAATCTGTGCAACTGTCAATCTCAATTGTTCAGGAAGTACTGTTTCCTCAAATTTTAAAGTGGAAAAATCAATTTCAAGCTTTTTGTAAGAGCCATTGGGGGGCAGCCAGTGAGGAATAACACCACATGGTATGAATGGTATACCTTCCTGACTGGCCACCCAAAGACAATGGTTTCCTTCAGTGATATAGGCTTTTCCAGTTGTAAGATCACATGATATAATTATTGGTTCTTGAAAACAATTTTTCATAATGAAACGTCTTACTTGTTCAAGATGATCGTGATTATTGCCAGCTTTTGGCATGAGAGATCTGTCAAATTCCCTATATTCCCAAAGATCTTGTGTTTTGACCATTTGAAATTCATGTGAATAATCAAATGCATCAGAAATGTAAGATTTGGTCTGCATTGCATGTTTTTCACTTTCTGTGGGTTCATCAAGTGTCACAAAGGACATATCTGTATCAATTAATGGTTGAAATGCTTTTGCAAAATCATCGTCACTACTGTCACTGTCAATTTCTGTAGTCATGCTTTTAATCAACTCTTTAAATGATTTACACTTTGACTCTTTTTTGCCACCTTTAATGTCTGAAGTTGTTTCTAT